TGGTTAATGAATCCATTTTTACATTCAAAGTTAGTCCCTGGTTTTTTTCTAAAAAGTTTGGTTTTTTGTTAAAATCTCTTAAGAGATTTTAACAAAGTATAGACATCAATGGAGGTCACGTGGTCTAAAGACAAGTTCAAATATCAGAATAAAAGCTATAACTGCTGTTTTTGTGGTAAAACAGAATATATTATATTTCTATGAGTTATTCACAAGGTTTTTATTGTGAAATATAGGTCTCATACAAAGAGTTATTATGCCTTTAACAAACTTCTAACTGGGCACTGCTGTAATAAACTAATTATGAAATGACGTGAAAACTGTTTTATTATTTGTGTAGTTAATATAATGCCCTTTTTATATCCATCGGTATACTTAAGTGGCTCATTCTGTACCGGTACACATTAAGAGGTCCGCTCGTGTTATTTTGCTACTTGGGTTTTACTCTTTTTCACAGGTTCTCCCCAAGTAAACTTCCTACTGTTTATTTCAGCAAAATCAATTTATAGCCAAGATTTACTTTATCCAGAATTGTTTTGCACAGCATAAACATGTCAGCTTCTTACACGTTAACTAATATCTTTACCGTCTCGAGAGTAAATCACACCACTGTTAATAACGAGACTCAAAATATATGAATGTTTACACCAAATTCGAGTTTATGGATCCTTATTCTTTAAACCGTTTAAGATACAATATACCGCTTGATTGAGGGAAACTGGATGCAATCTCCAAGAGAAATTACAATTTTGCTATTTAAGAAACCACAGGGCTCATTGTGTGTTTTTAAACAGTCATACATTGGTTTTAAACGGCTTAAATCGTAAGCGTTCTAAATCCCAACTGCACTAAGCCTGAGGCGAATTGTGAACGTCACGAACGCATTTCCGATCCCCCGGATTTAATGTCGAAAGTATTAAAAAAAGGCGTCATTTATATTTGATAGTGCAATGTAATGTGGGTAAAGACTGTGAATAGAACTGATGGGGTCCCTAGGAGAGGAAAGAGGGTGCTATTGGAGCGTTAAGAGTGACTGACACCCCATTTCCACAGATTTTTAGATCGATCTATCCCTGTGGGGAGTCTCACTAGATTACTGTCAGCTTGGCCAGCTTAAGCGTCTTCCCCGCCTACTAAAAGCTGTAAGACGTAATTAACTATGGTGCCCGCTCGGCTGACTGCAATTTAGCGTGAACCCCCAGGGAGTTAGGTCGATCTTAATCTTTAGATCGATCTAAATCTCTGGGAAAGCACCCTGAGAGGGGGAACTATAGGCCCTGCAGGCTGGAATTCAATTCGGGTTATGCGATGGGCACGTAAGATCAGTGACGCCATGACACATGAAAACCCAAACGCCTTTATCCATTGTGAAGAGGATTGAATTCCAAACAAAAAAGAAAGTATATTGCTACGAAAACTGATCAATAAAATGTTGTTTTATTGCTCTTTTGGTGTGTTTGCGGAAGATGTAAAGGGATTGTAACGCGAGAATCAAGGCGTGAAGTTATTGTATGCATTATAGAAGCAGTGTTAAGGCTTATAAAATTAAGCAAATAGTAATGAAATGTGATGGGTGCACACCTGTAATCCTGTGTGCAACATTTAATGCTCTGGCCATGTTTTGTCTGTACTTAAAGTCAACAGATTTAGCCACGTGTGAAAGTGTCTATCACTCTAACACCTCTTTGGATTAGTTTGTTCGTTATTGTTAGTTTTACGGTGAGCTCACATTGTCAATCTCGGACACGGAATGGTGGGTAGAGCAAGTATGTCAAATTATAAGGTTTTAACAGAGAGAGGGAGTGGGCGAGAAACACAATGAAAAAAAAAAGGATTACATGTAGAACAAGGCCAATGATAAAACGGATTAACTAAATGTTCACAAAGAAACCTAAATATGCATAACAGGGGCAGAAGACGCCCCTGCATAAGACTGTTGGTTTTAATGTGCTCAGACTCGTTCCACCTTTTAACTGCGATAGGCGAACACATTTGTTAAATGTAGATTTATCAGTTTTCGCAATTTCCGTATTATTTTTTTGTCGTAAACCACTTATTACGCATGATATTAATTACAGTCACAGACGAGTATAAAAGCAGACAGGCCAGAAGAACAAATTCAGTATTTTGGCTCTGAATATACACACACCGTATAAGACCATTATTTCAGCAGTGGTCTCTTCATTGCCAATATAAACTTGTTTTCAAGTTCATAAGTTATGCATTTCACCGTGAGTAAACGACTGAAATATTCAACAGTCTCTTTTTTCCATCACGAGATGGACTTAGGGCGCATTTCCAATGAAAATAATGGTCTACGTAGATAGATCCATCTTCGCAGGGACTCACGCTGAATGGATTCAGTTTTTCAGAATTTAATCTGTTAAAACATGCATCTTCCTGACACTGAGTAGAATACAGAGAAGCTTGTGATTAAAGGAATATGTTGGAAACAAAAGAAAGTGTGTTAATCTGTCAAACTGATTGCATTCAGCAAGTTAGATCCCAGCGGTGTTAGATCGATCTACGTAAACCGAGAGTTTCAATGTGAATGAGCCCTTAAAGCTTTTGGGGATTTTTTAAAGATGTAATTTTTCAATGACGGAAAAAGTGTGGAAATTTCCAGGAAAACCCATAGTTTTTATACAAAGGTCTCAAGCTCAGAGTGTAAGTGTCGGCAAGCTGACCGCTGGAACTTCTAGTACTCTTTGCTGTATGTCATCCTGGAGACGTTACCATATAAGAAAATAACTCAGTTGCGTGCGGAAAGGACATGTAGCCTGTGAACAGTATTTAACCAACAGCAGTATAATTCACATAAGGGTCATTATACGCCATAGTACGCCAGGAAAGCTTTATATACGCAGCGGGCGTAATTGAAATGACCGACCACTGAAGCCAGCGTCATGAATACTTTAGTGTAATAGTGAAATTATATCTGTGTCGCTGTGCTATATCATGGAACACTCACAGTTGTAAGACTGACTCTGCATCTAAAAAAGCGTAACAGTGCCACATAGGAAAATCAGAAGAAGAAGCATTTTTGTTAAACAACTACGACAAAACACGTTACAAATAAGTCATGGTACCGGATGCACGTGTGTAAGGCCGAAATGACGCGTAACCGAAGCGAAAATTATATATATATATATATATATATATATATATATATACAATTAGTTATTGTTGGAAATAAAGAAATGTGCAATTGTGAATGTAAAGATGTGATAGCATTTAAGTGTCTTGCTAAGCTCTATGTGAAAAATACATGTACATTGTACATATACAGTGTACAGTATACATGTACCTGTATAACCGGTTTTTAAACAATTTTGAGACGCGCCTTCAAATATTGGCTTTTAGCAATTGAAATAATTAAATTATAGTCAAAGCGTATACCTGGTTTCTTAGGTAAATGAATATCACGGTAAGTATACTTCACAAAATTGTCTAATATGAAAGTAATTCCTTTAAACATAATCATTTAATCATTTTTCTTTCATGTTTATGTTGTTTCCACATGAAAGTGTGTGACAAATAAATTAAGTAACTACTTATTGAAATAAGACATTCTAAGAAAGAACCAAAATTGAAGAGTGTATGTGTAGAAAAAGGACATTTGCGGTGTGAAAAAGGGGACGGGTTGATGGCTAACAGTCCAATCCGACTTCGCCATTTTGGTTGATAAAATATTAGTTATAAATCTTTCAACAAACAAGGTGTGTCTGAAAATATCAATTAACATGTATGTTGCTTCTACACAACAAAACAGTTGCTGTTTCCACCTCAAAATAACCTCCTGTTATAATTACATTTTCTATCTTTTACTGCTAGGCTTTTATGCACTCATAGTGGGATGATTTTTCAATATTGCATATAGATAAAATAATTTGTTTGATAATAAATTATCGAGTTTCCCCATTCATTTTTGTTAATGGCCCATCCAAAGACAAAGGGAGGCCCTATTCAAAAATTCTAAAAAGTTTTACCAGTCAGTAATTAACTGCGGGATAGATAACGCAGCAATATTAGAAGTTCATTGGATATAAATAATAAATACACAATAGTTGACCTTGGTGATGTGTGGTACGACCTTGACCCAACGAAAAGTACATGTATATGTAAGACAGGTAGAATATTCACTTCACCATGAGCAGAAAGTACAAGTATATTACAGTAGAAAACACTTTGTGGGTTCAGACGAATTGGGTTGGGAAATGAAACATATTAAAGCCATGTAAAGGCCAGTAAACTTAAACCAGGGTGCTAATGCACAATGGGAACTCAAAAGAAAATGAAAGTACTATTGGGAAACAAGTCTGTAGAATTTTAATTAAAATATGCATGTTGTTAACGGTTGTAAAGATTTGTAATTTGTAATTCGGTGGTTAAGTGTACGTGTATAGCGTGTTTTTAGGGGCTTTGGTGTTTGTGTCTGTGTATAAAATTGTATTTTGTACAAAAAATCTTACCTTTGTATAGTTAGTGTAAAAACGTATGCATATACTAGTACACACATGTATTGTGTACACGTGCTGAACCAAGAATTAAAAACAGGGGGCAAAGGCTGGCTGCAGGTGTACCCTTGTTTTCGCTCTATATAATTGCAGCAGTAAACCACATGGATACCTAATATAAATTATTATTATTATTATTATTATTATTATTATTATTATTTTGAGAAAGGGAGATGGGTATATCTCACAAGGTGTAGGAGTCGGCACTGCTGCCCCCCTCCGTCCGCTGCGATTTTTGTATCTCTTAAGACCTCTGAAACTTGTATTTAATTAATGTCAACTAAGGCCATGAAGACTCTTACAATATCGTACATCCTTTATGTAGCGTCTCATCATCATGTCAGTTCAACACATCTTAACATCAGTATTTCGTGTTGCAAATTGGGACAAATGAGGCAATTTTTGCATATTGAATGAGATATCTATCAAGAGCGTGGCATATGTTATGATCGGTAATGGTGTGCAGCATATGAAGCAGATGTTCAACGCCGACTGTTTTAACAACAAGTCGTCCAGGTTCACTGTCAGACAGTCATAAGTTCGGTGGGGAGCGCTGAGAGCTGCGACTCGTAAGTAAGACATAGAAGCCGAGGGTGACAAAACAGCCCTGTTTTGTACCCCCGTTTGATTCATATTATGCAAAACGTCACCATTGTAAATTGTGAAAATTATTGGTTTACTGTGGTTTGCAGGTTTTATGGTACTATGACGCCATTAAAATATATAACGGGCGTTATGTCTTTTAAGAATGCTATGAAATTTAAAAATGCTATGAAAGCGTAAAAGAATATTTCTGTTGTTTCCAATTTTAAAGAGTTTGAATATTAAGGCACAGTGTCTCATTATGGCAACCTTCGAGGTAGCCATACAGGCTTTGTCCTTGGCTTTTCTGTTAGTGCTTCTAGAGTGTTAAAAATCACTTTTAAACGACGATTTGGTCTGTAAAAGACAAGGCTGATCCAAATTACATATACTTCGTATGCATAAGAAATGAATTATGTTTCAGTTTAATAACTATTTTGAAGCATTCAGTATATTTCTTTTGATGCCGTTTCCGTTTATCTTCATATATGCATCATTTGTAATACAGTATAGTGTGCAAACAATAGCAAGTGTTTTAACCATTTACAGAATGTGTTTGGCAGTGCAAAAAAATGACTTTAAAACTCCACCTTTTCGCAAATTATTTGTCGTTAAGTTGAACCATTCTCCCTCCAGAATATGAGACTCATAAAGTAATTACATCATATCTATGCAAATGTTAATTTAATATGCATTTACACAGGATAAAGAGTAATTTTTTTTCATTATTTGCCCTTAAATTCGTCTTTCACAGAATACTTCTCTTATAAATGGAACACAACAGAAACACTTCTTTTTTCCGATCTAAATAAAAGCGATAAATTTACATTCAAAATGAACACCTCCAGTGAGGCGGTGGTAAAACGTTTGGCCAAATATTAAAAAAGAACGGTCGTTTATTTATCATTGTGTCTTTTGTTACCTACATAACAACCTGTATACCTGTATAACAACCTAAAAAAGTATTTACATGTAGGTTTTTCCATTTTGTTATATGTAATAAAACGTACTGAGTACATGCCTTTTTTGAATTCTTTCTTTTCATCAGGTTTGCTTTAGGACGGTTAAAATGCACTTGGTGCCAGATTTTAAATTATTTGCGTTGCACCGGTATTGATTGGAAGGATATAGTAATATGATTTTTATGAAAAGTAACAGCTTGTCTGCGTATTCAAGATACGTTATTAAAAAATAAAATAGATAGAAAAAAACATAATTGCGCTTATCGTCAATAACTTTATTGAGGAGTGGGAAACGGCAGCTTTTAATTTCATAGAAAATTCAATGAGTCACTAACATTCGATACGCTTGACACCTAATGAGACGATAGCATGCTGGCAGGATGCAACACTGAACTTCATTAACATCACTGGTGGTGTTTATTTCGGATTTAGGAATAATCACCGAATGCCAACCTTCAAAATAGAAAAAAAACTACAGAACAAAGGTACTTGTATGCTATTGTTCCACATTACTGAACCAATTGCAAACCCGGGGGCGGGCACACTAAGTGCCCCCGAGATTTGGAACTACCCCTGTCTTCTCTTCTTCCCTCCTCCCCCCCCCCCCTAAATATAATAAAGTAACAATACATGAAAAAAGAGACAAAACCAACTTATTTTCAAATGTCTGTACCCTCAATTTTTAAAATGTTACATCTGGTACATTTAACTTGCTGAACGAAGTAAGGTGGAGAACGATACCCCATGTGCCCCACCCTGCCTGCATAAACAGTGCCCACTTCGGGGTACAGCTAGTCTAATTTGTTTTCTTCTGGACATCATCTGTGATTCAGCAATAACATATTTTATTTCATATGCTCATTTGTAAAATACTGGGAGGCATAAATTTGTATGCAACCGCCGATTCAAAACAGGATGCAAATATCACAAATTAAGAAATAATAATTAGTATAATGATGAGGAGCGCACCACAAATCCCTAGTATTACATCGACTGTTAATACCATGGAAATCAAGATAATGATTATATTCTACATTCATTTAAGCTTAACGATATATTTGTTTAAGTTTAATTATATATTGTTTTGAAATTTGCGTATAGTGAATTATTGCTATTGCAGAAAATGCGCGCTTGGGGATCAAATGCTTTTCTGCTTCTTTTCGTCTTTGCACGGACCGTCTATGGCTTTGGTAAGTACATTCTTGTACAAAATCATTTTCAAGCGATTGAAGGAATTTGTGCCTGTGCTTATGCTGGCACGCGCTTGTGTGTGTGCTAATGTTACTAGCAGCTGATGTTGCTGGTACATCATGACTTCTTTTGTGTCTGCGTGCGTTTGTGCCTTATACCGATATGTGTGACACTGTGTGTGCGTACACGTGTGTTCATGTGTGTGTGTGTGTGTGTGTGTGTGTGTGTGTGTGCGCTCGCTCGTGCGTATGTGTGTGTGTTATTATTTTTTTCACTAGAGAATGCACACTTATGAATCCAAAAGGGACACCATAGTATTTTCACTTGTTGTATAAACTTTTGTTTCTCAATTTATTCCCTAAAATTCCACACGTTTACGTTACCTAACATTGCACTATGTTCATTTGGGTACAATTTATGCACATTTGAAGTAATCTATATCAACCTCAGGGGGCGGTTGTGAATGCAAGGCAACGGGCGATCCGCACTACCATACCTGTGATGGCGTCACCCTTCAATACCAGGGCGCATGCGCGTATAACTTAGCAAGCACGTGTTCTCATGGATCAAAAGATGATCGATTCATCGGGTGAGGCTCTTTTTCATTAGCTATGATGTGGTCTAAGAGCATCGTCGTGAATCATACTGAAGTTGAAAGCCATTTGTATGACTTAATTGTTAACAACACTTTCTGGCGTTAAGCTTCTTTTATAATTATATTTTATTTAACTGAAGAAAACTTGTGAAAATTGCACAGTTTGTCAGGATATAATAAGTTAAATTTATTATTATTATTATTATTATTATTATATACATTTATTAATAAATTCATTTTTCATAAATTTGTAGTAAAATGTACAATGCTCCAACAGAAATTGTATGCATTCCTATGCTGAATTGTTACATAAACGTATTATGAAAATGCCATCTTTTTCAAGTTTTCGCATTTTGATAAAGAACAAACATCCCATCAACCAAGAAGACGTTTCTTACGCCAGGGCCGTCAAGGTGGACTTTGGGAAGCGGACCATTTACATGGATACTGCCGGAAACTTTAAGGTAACTGGAAATTCAGGACCCAGTTTTATCAATACTGGATAGCATTATCCTATGGATATCCCATTATCCTATGTAGCCATAGGATACAACTGTTGTCCTCTAGACAGTTATCCTGGAAGTTACAGCCATTTCCACCACCGGATAGTAATATCAGAGACAAAAAGAAGTATTTAGTGTTTAGAAAACATTACTTTACCAATAGGACAACATACTTCCGATGGGATAACAATTTCACCCAAAGTCGGAATTTCTTTCTCGAGTTTCAATTATCCAGATGTAAAATTGTATTTACGAAGGTACGGACCTGTTAAGTTGACTTGTGTTAACAGTCGACCTGATATCAGGCGGCCGTAAAATTAAGCATTTTGTGTTATGAAGTTTAATAACCAACTTTGCGCATAGTTCCAAGAAGAGTCATCTAGAATACTGGTAGGCGTATACGCCTTCCACACAACATGTTCAATTGACACAACCATCGACACTAACACTCCCCCCCCCCTCC